GGATCATTTCTTTTTCTGATATATGAAATATGAGATTTCACTAAGTCAATTCTTAGGAAATCCCTAATCAAACCATTTGTACTTACTTGAACAAAAGAAGCGTGGGCATTTTCGATAGAAGAACTTGTTTTGTCTTGATCCCAATTCAAGACTAAACAAGTCCGAACTAATTGAATCCTTGTATTAGAAATTCCCGGAATTGATTTTCCATTTCCAGAAAGAATATAATTAATAACTTTAAGTTCCAGATCATTTCTTTCCTGGAACCTATCTTGGGGAAAAAGTTTTACTAAATGGATACCGTCCGCTATTTCATATAGAATTACGGGTCGAACCAAAACAAAATACTTTTTTTTGGTAATTGTGATCCATTGGACATAGATCCAATTTTTCATTTTTTTTGCTTCCTTTGAATTTTGTTTTACCGTTCCGGATGGTATCAAGATGGCACTGTGTCGGGATATCTTATCCATCTCTCCAGTAAAATAGATATCCCCGGAAAATATTTTTACTTCAATCTTTTTTTTTTTCTTCTCCATTTGGACCAATCCACCTACTCGACTTCTTATATTTAAAGTTATTGGTGTATCTACTCCAACGATACTATTGTTCCGTATCATTATGGAAGAAGATTCGGGTAAAATATGCACTTCCTCGGGAATGAAAAAAAATCGATCTACTTTGATTTGGTATTTTGGCTTAAATTCTTTAACTCCTTGATACTCAATTAAAAAATCCTCTTTTTTAAAAATGGAATTTATTCCTATAGTCCTATATTTTGTAATTCCTGAACTCTGCGTTCGGTATTGAGGATCATCGAAATAAGCAAGAATACTATTTCTACGAAAAATACCATTGATTGGTATTTCAATCGAGATACCGGAAGGGGACATTAGTTCTTTGTCTCGTTCTTGAATCGATTGGAATGGAAATGGAATGATGAATCTATTTCTTCGCCTCTTTGCTAATAAATCCGAAGTGTCATGGAAAATAGCAAGATGTGTAAAATGACAATAATCCATACATATGATTTGATTCAATATTGAATAATCAGGAATCCTTCCTTCTTTTTTACCAGAAAGATTGAAACTAAAGAATTTATGTCTTACTTGTTCATTACTTACTAAAAGGTTACAAATATTTCTTTCTCCAGTAGAAAGAGAATGAATGTTCATTTGATCTTGATCCTTGCGGAGTGAAAAAGAGACTGAACCGACCCTGTACGACTTTCCTGATAATATCCATAAATGACTTGTTTTTGGTAAGATATGGACATTACTATATCTAAATTCTGATGCATGGTATACATCGGTACTCCAATGCATTTCTCCTTCTGAGTCAGAATAAACATGTTTTCGAACCTTTTCCTTCAAATTCAAAGTGTATGTTCCCGCACGAATCTCAGCAATCACTTGTTCCGATTTTACATATTGATCATTTTGAACTAATAAAAAACTTTTTGGTGGAATAATCACATTATGTATAATATCGTCACTTTCAATAGTTACATACAAGTTTATAGAACATAGAAAAGCAGGATGCCCATGACGTGTACGTGTAGGATGAACCAAATCCTCATTGAATTTAATTTTTCCATTAGAAGGCGCTCGCACATGTTCCGCAGTACCCCCTGTGAATACTCCACCGGTATGAAAAGTTCTTAATGTTAGTTGAGTACCCGGTTCTCCAATAGATTGACCCGCAATAATACCTACAGCTTCTCCTAATTCCACTAAGTGGCCATGAGTAGGACTTTGGCCATAACATAATCGGCAGATCCAAGATGTATTCCTACAGGTAAAGGGGGTTCGAATAGATATTGGTTGTGTTTGAAAAGTTTTGAATCGATTGATAAGTCCAATTCCAATATCTTGATTTCTAACAGCAATGCATCGTGAACCTCTGTATATATCGTCTGCTAATACACGACCAATTAATGTTTGTATCAAAATTATTTCCGGCATCATTCCATTCTGGATATTCACCGAAATCCCTTGAATGGTACCGCAATCTGTTCGACGTACAACAATGTGTTGAACCACTTCAACAAGTCTGCGTGTAAGATATCCAGCATC